AAAATGCCAAAAACCTTCCTGAAGGCATTAAGTTACTAGAGAGTGGCCAGGCATAGGTAGATACCAGAAGGGGTTGGAGGAGGGGGGAAGACTTGTTGATACTTGGAAGGGGTAATTGCACTGACTGGGGGACTCTTCACTTCTCACCCTCCTCCATCCCTTTTGATTTTTCTTTTTGTATTAAGTTGTATCGAGATATAATTGACAAATACCATTGTGTAAGTTTGAGGTGTGTAACATTTTGGTTTTATATATTGCAATATGATTACTACAGTAGTGCTAGCTAAATACCCTTATCATCTTCTATAATTACCATTTCTTGTTTGTCTTAGAACACCTAAGATCAAGTGTCTTAACTTTTTATAATATAGTATTGTTGACTGTAATCAGGAAATTTCCGAGTTTTTTTTTTTTAATTTTTTATTTATTTATGATAGTCGCAGAGAGAGAGAGGCAGAGACACAGGCAGAGGGAGAAGCAGGCTCCATGCACCGGAAGCCCGATGTGGGATTCAATCCTGGGTCTCCAGGATCGCGCCCTGGGCCAAAGGCAGGCGCCAAACCGCTGCGCCACCCAGGGATCCCGAAATTTCCGAGTTTTAATTGGCTTTTTGCCTATAGGCAGTTCCCATTCTGTTCCATGCTGGGCTTCTAAAGTTCGGATGGATAAAAATTTCCAGTGTTTCCAGAAGGCAGTTAGGGACAACCATGGCAGTGAGAGTGACAGAGTGATGGTAGAAATCCTGGAAAGGAAGAGAACCAGGGAAGGAGAGGCCCACATGTAAACTTCCCAAATGCCTGCTTGGCTCTTAAACTATGTTTGCATGGGAAGAATTTGAGGCAGCCCAGCTGAGGGTGAGAGAAATGAATCCTCTCACATAGGAGAAGCTTACAGTTTGAGTTCAGCCAAGTCATCTGCGCTAAATGAAGGAGTTGGGGAAGTAATATCTTTGGGGGAATGTAATAAAACTCACGCTCTACTGTGTGTCATTTATTATATCTAGAAAGCAGGAAGATGTGATATGGCCTATAGTCAAGAAAAAACAGAGGGATCCCTGGGTGGCGCAGCGGTTTGGCACCTGCCTTTGGCTCAGGGCGCGATCCTGGAGACCCGGGATCGAATCCCATATCGGGCTCCTGGTGCATGGAGCCTGCTTCTCCCTCTGCCTATGTCTCTGCCTCTCTCTCTCTCTCTCTCTGTGTGACTATCATAAATAAATAAATTAAAAAAAAAATTAAAAAAAAAAAAAGAAAAAAACAGAACAAGAAAGAAAAAAGTCCAGCTAGTTCCAGACCACCCAGATATTGGCATTAGCAGAGAAGGTTTATAAAGCCCCTATTTTAATTACAATCAAAGATGTAAAGGAAGATATCCTAATGAATGAAAAGATAAGTTAGTAGAGAATTAGCTTTATTATAAAAAGAACAAAATGGAAATTTTAGAATAGAAAAATAAATCCTCTGAAGTAGAATTCACTGTGTGGCCATAGCAAAAGCCGATTAGAGATAACAGAAGAGCTGACACACTTGGAAATAGATCAATAGAAATAAAACAATAAAATAGAGTAGTAATTTTCTAACAGTTTTAATGGTGACCCCACCCCCCAAAGTAAAACTGTTATTGACTTTGCATGCACAGGCCCACGCATGCATACATGTGTAAATGAAATGGCATTGTCCATGATTAATTGTGATACTGTTCTGTTTCTTTTCTTTTTTTTTTTTTTTTTAAAGAGAAAGCTGGTCACAAATCACTAAATTGATCTCACCACCCACAAATGGGCTGGGAACTATAGTTTCAGAATGCCTAGAATAAACTTTAAAGACTGCAACACTATCGATCATGTGTTAAGGTGGAGGTCTTTGGCCAAGTGGGATCCCATGGTGTAGCTGATTTACCTGCTTGCTTTCTTGGAAGGCAGGTCAGTGTTGAGGATTGAGTCCTGTACCCAGAAGAATGAGTGTCCTGTCCCCAATCCAGTTTAGTAGGAAGTCCTATTTTAATCCTGACCAGTTTGTGGGGGGAAGCAGGCCTGAAATGGATGAAGATACAGTCCAACCAAGTAGTCCTGAAAAGTGATGAGTCCTTTGCCAGAATATTTGGAGATCATGACTGGCTTTGTAAAGCTCTCTGAACGGGATTAGTAATCTTAACTCCCTTTTTTTTTTGTTAAGGGAGAAGCCAATGGCTATTAGGAGATTCACTTCCAGAGTGCCATACTTTGAGATCACACTAGAGTAGTACTGTATAGTAGTTGCATAGTGCTGTAGAAGGAAGGTGGATAAAAAAAAAATTTTCTGTGATGATGTGTCAGAGGGAGAGGCTGTTGTCTTAATTAGACTTGATTGGTTAGCTCACTAGACTTGACAGATATTGTGTATTTTAAGAAAGGTTGAAGAAATGACGAATAGGATGGGAGTTCTTGACATTTTAGCTTGAGAATTTTGTTTCCTTTTTCTTTTTAAAGATTTTATTTGAGAGAAACAGAAAGTGTGCATCCATAGGGATGGGGAGGGGCAAAGGAATAGAGAGAATCCCAAGCTGACTTTGAGTTGAGTACAAGGCCTGATCCCATGACCCCAAGATCGCAGCCTGAGCCAAAACCAAGAGCCACCCAGGTGCCCTTGGAATTTTGTTTTCTAAATAAAAGCATATATATAAACTCAGTGTGCAAAATGAGATACCACTGAGAACTCCATGGAACAGCACCCCCTTATGGTGTAAGGACTTGTGGAATGGGGAATTTTTCTGGTGATAGTTACTGGACTATTCAGATATCCAGAGGGCTGGCCCCTCGAAGGAGTAAGACCGAGTCCCCCTGCCTTAAGGGACTTTGGAAGTAGGTATACATCTCCTTTTTCAGTCTCTGAAGGCAAAATTAAGACAAATAAGTGATATTTTAGGGGAGAGCACTTTTGCTTCAGTATGTAAAGAGGACTTTATAGAGCCATTCGCCCATGTGGTAGGTTGCCCTAGAATTATTACTTCCAGCTTATGAGAAATTCCCAAGCAGAGACCAAGTGGCCATCTTTCAGGACTGTCACAGAAGAACTTCCTGCATTAGCTAGATCTGGACTCTTTTAAGTTGCTTTTCAGTGTTAGTATTCTGTGATCCAGAGCAGCTCTTCCTCTAACCATGAACTCTCTGCAAAACCTTCAGTTGCACACTGACCCACCAGATGTCCTCTTTGCCATGTATTGGCTCCAGCAGTACAAATATGAATAATACCTATTGTCTTTGACATCACACAACTTCCTCATACCCAGAGAGCCACAGATGCATAGTAGTGTTGGTTTTTAAAAACAAACATTAATGAGATCAGGCCTCAATGGTAAGTACCCATTCGCACATCTGTGTGTAATTTTATCACTCTCTCTGGCCCCTCTAGATTTAGTGTAGGCACATTCCTGTTTTCCTTTCCCAAGACGATGTGTTTGTGAAATGTTTAGAAATGCCGGCAAACTGATAGGGTCGTTCTTAGACTCTGAAGAGGCAGCATGAGGCTGTTGGATGAGTGCTATGGTTCCCACTTATGCCGTCCTTGACTAAGTCTTCAGGGCCTTCTCTCTCAGTTGCCATGCTCTGTGGTTAACACTAGACATAGAGACATAAGGAAGACTTGTTCTTGACATCAGTACACTCAGAAAGGAGAGAATTCATGGATTTTGGTTGTGTTGAAATTATAATTGTTAACAAGTGCAGCTTTGAAGCAGTCATGTGAGCCTTGTATGTGAGTCCCTTCACTTACCTGGGCTTGTTCCCCTCACCTGTGAGAGGGTTGGTCCTGGCATTCTTCCAAGACCTGGTCTCAGCCATGGCTCACATTGGCAGCCATGGGTGGCAAAGGGAGACTCTCATAGAGCCAGGTAGTTGGTGAATCGATCTTCCAAAAGTGTCCAGCTCTCTTTCACTTCTGACTGTGAGGTCAGGGCAGAAGCCAGGCAAGCACAGCCTACCAACCAAGGTCTTTGTTCTAAGAGTTGTCTCTGAATTTGTCTCATTACAGCAACGTTGTGGAGAAGTGTGTCACTCATGCGTCCCGCACAGAGCGTGCTGTGCTTATCGACGAGGTATGCACCATGAATGACGGTCCCCACAGTGCCTTATACACCATGATGAAGGACCAGTATGCCAACTATGTGGTCCAGAAGATGATCGATGTGGCGGAGCCAGCCCAGCGCAAGATCGTCATGCATAAGGTGGGCTGGCCAGGGTGGGCAGATATCGCTTAGAGTTTGAGGCCTGACGTTCTTAACATTTCTGAAAGGCAAATGAAGGTAGACATCTTCTTTTTGTAGAGTTTGTCACTGGACAGTGTCTCATACTGTACTCCTATTTCCTTTTATCTAGAGTGACCATTGTCTCCATGTTTCAGTAGCTCACTGGTGCGAAAGAGTCTTAAACTCCATTTTTGTGAGGGATTTCCCTCTGTGATCCTCAGGGTATGCTTCTACTCCTCTGCTCCTAGGAGTCCAGCTTTTCAGTCCAACAGATCAGCCTGCTTCCCTTGTTTCCTTTTCTCACTCTTTCCTCTTATTTACTCCACCACCTTTCACTGATATATCCACCCGGTGCCCACTCTGTGCCAGGCATCAGCACGGAAATGACAGAGCCTGGTCCCAGCCCAGAGCACAGTATGGGGAAGAGCGGTGGTGAGCACATGAGCTCATGTGCACAAGGCTTCGAGGGAGGGAAAGTCCAGGCTGAGGAGGAGTGAAGAGAAAAGGGACAGAAGTCTGAACTGTTAGGTGTCGGGGGTGGGGGTGGGGTGGAGTGGGGGGTGGGGTCAGGGTGCTGAGGTGAAAGCACCTGAAGCAGCCCATGGGTTCTGGAACAGTCGCAGAGTTGGTCCAGCCAGCCCACACAGCCCCCATGGCTTGGGAGGCAAAACACACCCACAGGCAGGCATGCTGCAGCTGTGTTCATGCCTCTAACCTGAACCCTCGGCCTTTGGGCTCTGGACTCACCCTGCCCTTCTCAGCGGAGGTGTTGGCCACCGTCTGGCAATGATGAGCCACTTGCCCTCACTGAGAACAAAGTTCGGTAATGAGAATCTTTGTTATGGACTCAAAAAGTTCTGAGCCAGACAAGGTACCCGCCGTCTCCAGTTCAAAACACAGCCTTGACACAGTGAAGCACCTCAGTGGTGTTGGCAATGGCGACTGAAGGCGGGGGAGTCCAGAGGCCCAGAGGCCTTCCGGCTGTCAGGCTTCTGGATATGCGCATCAGGCAGCAACCATATTGGAAACATACAGAAGTTTTAAGTATGTCCATTCATTCATTCATTCATTCATTCATTCACTTGACAGATACTGGTGTGTGTACTTAGATAAGCCCTCCTATCAGCAGGGTGCTGGTACTTGTGAATATGACAGTACTGTGTATAGATCGTGGCAGTGATATTGAGGAAATATTGGGGAGGACCGTGTGAAAATGTGTCAGGGACTCTTCTGATGTGGGGGTACAGAGAAGGCTCCCCAAGAGAGTGACATTTGAATAAAGCTCTGCACCTCTCCAGGCAGAGGGAACCTGGTATACAAAGGCTTGGAAGCAGGAGACAAGACTGTGTGTTTGAAGAAGTAAAATATGTACAGTAGGGCAGGCCTGTGGTGCACATAATTGTCCTGGCTGGTGAGTAATTTAGAGGAGAGGAAGCAGTGAGGAGGCTGGATGGTAAAGCCAAGAGGTGTGACGGCTTTGGGGTTGAAGACAAGTAGATAGAATGGGGGTTGGCAAGTTGGGTGATGGAGGGAGTTGAAAGAAGAAGAGTCCCATGGATCCAGAAAACTAAAGAGTTTTCTAGCTTTCGCCGCTAGGGAGTGTCCTTTTTTAACAAGAGGTGACAGTGGAGCAGGTTGATTACTTTCCACCTCCTACCAAATCAAGTAAAAAATGGTCGACCACAGTGTACACATATGTGCACAAGAGTCATTAGTTTCTTGGAAAGTAGAAGGATAAAAGTTCTGTGGCCGGACTTAGCAGCCAACCAGTCCCAGGGACAGAGAGATGAAAGAATTGAATGTGAATGTCATTAATGTTTCTAAAAGGAGAGCCACCAAAAAGCAAGGAGGTCCTGAAACTCATGTCCTACTGTCAGAAAAACAGCCATGTCTATAGTTATCACTACAGCCAAATGAAAGTGTAGCAGTATCTCATGCTCTTTTTACAGAGGCAGTGAGGCGAGTGCTCTGGGTCACACAGCTCAGAATTGGACCCAGGGCTGTAAATGGTTCCCCACATGGGCTTGAAGGTGAGAACGCAGTAGCTGCTGTGGGTCCATGTCCTGTGGCACAGCAAATGGTGTCTGGAGCTACTCGACACTTCCTTGCTTTGACGACCTAGCCAACCAGACAGAAGTGGTGGCCTGCATGCAGCTGTCAATGTGGAGAGTGTCCATCTGCCCTGGTGTAGGTGTCCAGTGTGTTTGAGTGTGCAAGTGCACATCAGGATGGAGTAGCAGGCTGGTAAAGGATGGTCCTTCACTGTTTGTGGAACCGTCGGTGGCTAAGCCAGTGATTGTAAAGGTGGCATACTCCATGCTGTAACCAGGGCACATAGAAAACTCCATGAGCTCCCGGCAGAGGAAGGCTGGCTCCAGCGAGGAAGCACCTCTCGTGTCCAGGGTGTGAGACGGTGAGGGGCCAGACTGGCACCGTGGGCAGAACAATCACTGTTGCAGGGCCAGACACCTGTGCCTTATTAGCCATCTGGCCTGGGATGTGCCACTTAAGCAGTGTACCTTTGGATTTCATCAATAAAATGGGGACAATTAACATCTGTCGTATGAGGCTTAAATGATCAGTGCCTGGCCCACACTAGTAGTGTTTATAGTTGTCATTAGTAGTTTTCTGGGATCCTCTGTGTCAGGTGGTATACTCAGGGTTCATGTTGCCCAGAAGAGAACACACACCACCCCCTGCTGCTAAAGGGAGCCAGGTGCCTTGAGTGGGGCCAGAGGAGCTGGAAGCAGGCCTCAGAGGGTGCCATGCAGCAGTGGTGTAGTTGTCAGGATGCATATGTTCTGGATTCTGACCTGGAAGTAGTCTGTGGCCAGCTGCCTCCAGAGCCCTCGTGTCCCCGGTCAGTACTCAGGAGCTCCTCCCTCCCCCGCTCAGATGGGTCACTGTAGTACTAGAGTTGTGGTGCTTTGACAGAACCAGGGGAAGATGTTGCCTCATGGACTCAGACGCACAGTTCGGTGCCTGGGAGCATAGCAGGAGCCCACAAGTGGTTTGCAGGCCAGAGTAACACCAGCTTTGCTTCCTCCCCAGATCCGGCCCCACATCGCGACTCTCCGCAAATACACCTATGGCAAGCACATTTTGGCCAAGCTGGAGAAATACTACATGAAGAATGGCGTTGACTTAGGGCCCATCTGTGGCCCCCCTAATGGTATTATCTGAGGCAGTGTCACCCTGTCCCCTCATTCCCACTGACCTCACTGGCCCACTGGCAAATCCAACCAGCAACCAGAAATGTTCTAGTATAGAAGATGAAATGGGTAAATGGTTGCTCCAGGATTACCTGCTCCTCCAAAAAAAGGAATCAAATCCACAAGTGGAAAAGCCTTTGTAAATTTGTTTAATTTTATTACGCATAACATGTACTAATTATTTTTTTTAATTGACTAATTGCCCTGTTGTTTTACTGGTGTATAGGATACTTGTACATAGGTAACCAATGTACATGGGAGGCCACATATTTTGTTCAATGTTGTATCTATATTACACACGTGTGGAAACTTTCAGGGTGGTTGGTTTAACAAAAAAAGTTAAAAAAAAAGAAAAAAAAGGTTTTTAACCCATTTTGCCTTGCTGGCAAGTTTTGCAAATAGCTCTTCCCCACCTCCTCATTTTAGTAAAAAACAAAAACAAACAAAAAAACCTGAGAAATTTGAATTTTGTTAAATGACCCCAAACTGGCATTTAACACTGTTTATAAAACATATATATATATACATATATATATATATATAATGAAAATTGTTTTAGAGTTGCTAAAGCTTCAGTTTATGACATTAAGTTTATGAAACTTCGAAAAATTGCCTTTTTTGGAGACAATATATTATGCTGAAGAAGATGTGTAGTCTGTTTTGTGAGGAGGAGATGTGAGCTCCTAGGATGTCTTTCAAGGCCGGGCGGGTGTATTTGTTTACTGCCTACTGGATTTTTTTCTGTTAACATTGAAAGGCAAAATCTGATTATTTAGCATGAGAAAAAAAAAATCCAACTCTGCTTTTGGTCTTGCTTCTATAAATATATAGTGTATACTTGGTGTAGACTTTGCATATATACAAATTTGTAGTATTTTCTTGTTTTGATGTCTAATCTGTATCTATAATGTACCCTAGTAGTCGAACATACTTTTGATTGTACAATTGTACATTTGTATACCTGTAATGTAAATGTGGAGAAGTTTGAATCAACATAAACACGTTTTTTGGTAAGAAAAGAGAATTAGCCAGCCCTGTGCATTCAGTGTATATTCACACCTTTTATGGTCGTAGCATATAGTGTTGTATATTGTAAATTGTAATTTCAACCAGAAGTAAATTTTTTTTCTTTTGAAGGAATAAATGTTCTTTATACAGCCTAGTTAAATGTTTAAAAAGGAAAAAAATAGCTTGGTTTTATTTGTCACCTAGTCCCACAGTAGCAAGATCCTTTCTAAATGTTATTCAAGATGATTCAGTTCACACTAGTGTTTTTTTTTTTTTAATCCTAAAAAAGTAATGTTTTGCTTATTTTGTGACAGTCACAAGGACGTGCAAAGTTCAGCCCCGCCCTAGCTTTCCTTACAATCAGAGCCCCTCTCACCTTGTAAAGTGTGAATTGCCCTTCCTTTTTGTACAGAAGATGAACTGTATTTTGCATTTTGTCTACTTGTAAGTGAATGTAACATACTGTCAATTTTCCTTGTTTGAATATAGAATTGTAACACTACACGGTGTACATTTCCAGAGCCTTGTGTATATTTCCAATGAACTTTTTTGCAAGCACACTTGTAACCATATGTGTATAATTAACAAACCTGTGTATGCTTATGCCTGGGCAACTATTTTTTGTAACTCTTGTGTAGATTGTCTCTAAACAATGTGTGATCTTTATTTTGAAAAATACAGAACTTTGGAATCTGAGTCTGTGCCTCTATTTTCACTCCCCCTCCCCCTGAATATTAGCGCTCCAGTGTAGCCCTTTCCTTCTTTGTACCCTTTTTCCTGCTTGCTGGGGTTTCTGTTTACAGGAGGGTGGGGATGCAATTGGAATATGGCCAGTGTGGCAAACCCATAGCTCTGGAGTCCATTTTGACCCAAAGACATTGGATTTAGCCTGCCTAGTGCTTTCAGAAGCAAGATCGTTCGTCCAGATTTCCAACTTCTATTGAAAAATCAGGGTATCCGCCTCCCTGGGCCCAGAGCCTGCCTATCAGTCACAGGGAACATCCTGGAAAAGTTGGTACCCTGCGGTGGGACCCAGTCACGATGCTCTTCATTCACTCTTTCTGGCCTTTTCCACATCATGAGCCTGGGGTCTAGATTCGAATCCAGTGGGCAGCTAACTTTTTGAGGTGGGCGGCAGCTAAGGCCTCTCTGGCCGTCTGCTCTGTTTTAGCCTCCCCTTCTCGAGGCCTCTTCCCTTTCCTCCTCTGGCACATCCATGTTCACTCACGGAGGCTGGTCCGGGAGCCTAGCTTGCTCATCTGGCTCATCCTCCTCAGACTGGGGACCCCTTCCAGCTTGTGGTTACCGGAGGCTCTTGCTCACAGAGGTGGGCCTGCCACCTGTGCCTGAGGATGCGCACCCTCCTTTCACCACCTTTGCGCCATTAAGACTGGTTGGTATTGGCAGCTACGGGACAGGCTTGGCCAGGGAGGCCAGGTGGGAACCTGTACTACCTAATGTCTGCAGGTGGAGCCCTGGGCCGGTCGCAGAAAGAACTTGGCATCATCTCCCTCTCAAAGGTAAGGGCCTGTCGCCAGGGAAAAGGAAGCTGAGCTCAGGTTTTGAGTCCAGGACCTGATTGTGCAGCAGTGGCTGAAATCAGAACCTTCCTGAGGCTTCTGATAGTCCACATGGGCCCACCAGAGCTGAGCACTAGAGGGGCATCACCATCTGTCACTGCCTGGGCAACTCTGGAATCAAGTTCAAATAGGAGTCCCTGCACTCTCTGTGCCTGTGGGTCACCTCATCTTTAACCAAATTCCTCCCTGGGAATGGAAGGTGCTAGTACGTATGTGTGTAGTAGTCTCCGTGCCTTGGAAGGTGAGGGCTATGACATGGTCGCGTTTACTGGACCCTCGCAGGGTGGTGTGCAAAGCAGGTGAAGCGAGAGGCCTGAATTTCTTTCCCCTGTCTGTCTCTGTGACCTTGGGTGAGCAGCATGACGTGTTCGAGCCCCCATCTTCCTCTTTCATAAGATTGGAGGAACACCTGGAGCGGTGTGAGCGGGAACTGTTAGACGTATGTCCGGGGCCTGGCTCGTCCGGGGCATTTGCTCCCGTGTGGCTTTTCTTCTTTCCACCTGGACCACTTAGGTCCGTACTCTGCGTTTTTTCCCCTCTCCTTTTCATTCTTAGCATTTAGTGACATGTTTTATCTTGGTGGGTGTTTTTTTAGTGGCAGCAAGCACAGTGCTAGGTTGGAAGTGTGATAGCCGCCCCCTTCCCACCACCTCTTGTTCAAGCCCGTGTCTTTGAGGCCTGGGGAGGTGTTTCAGACAAACAGGAGGTGTAATCGCCTTTATCCCGGGTCATCTCCTGAGGTTGGTTGTGAGAATTAAGTGAAATTACACCGTTGAGCATCGTGCCCGGCACATGGGTATAATGAATGGCTGCTATGGATCATGTTTGACCTTTGCGCCTGGGTTTGGGGAAGCCGACAACCCCTGTCCTCACGTAAAGAAGCTTACGTAAAGTCCTTTGCTGTGAACCAGCTCTGTTAGTTGCTCACACCAGTCCTGTGAGGAATGGGGTTGCTCCATCTCAGGGGAGCAGCTCTGGGATCTGAGGCAAGTGTGTCTGGATCGGACCAACTGGGGCCTGACGAGGGGGTGGGGCAGGACAGGGTTGGGGTTCAATCCAGTTCCCCACCGCAGTTCACCACTGACCAGTTCTGCTCCAGGATATGGTATCCTGGGCCTCCGCCAGCCAGCTAGAGACCTATGTTCTTGGGTTTCTCTACCAGAGTCCCTCCAACACACAGTTTATGTAATGAATGGTCTTTTTACCTGGTTGCGGGGCTTTACAGTTTCCAGAGGGCATTCATATTTGTGATTCCTGATCCTCATGGAAGCCTTGGGGGGTAAAGGCTGCGTATAGACTTAGCCCATTTTACAGATGAAGAATTTGAGATTCCAGCCGTACAATGAATGAGTCAATAACCAAGTAAGGATTTTATCTGAAGTTTCCTGACCCCAAGTCCAGGGCTCCATCCGTGCTATCTCGCTCCTGCCACCTCCCCTTAGCTCCAGGAATAGCTGTCTCTCTCTTTCCCTGGCTCGCAGTTGTCTTTCAGAAGGGCGAGGTGCTGGAGAAGGAAACATTTTGGGAGAGGAAAACCGGGGACTTCGTGTAGTTACCAGCTCTGGCCACACGAGGGTGCTGTTGCCTAAAGAAAGAATTATAGAGGTCAAAGGGCTCTGGGCTCCAAGGTCAGGGCTGGGTTTCCCCTGGCTTGAGGGCCTCGGAGTGGGGTACCCCCCCCACCCCCCACCCCCACCCCCACCCCCGCCGCCAGGGACCAGAGGTCTGGCATCTGTCCTAAGATTGAGCTTCCCCTCATCTTGCCTCCGTCCCAGCTTCTCCTGGGTGTAGAGCTAGTCCCTCACTCTGGCTTGGGGCGGCAGGGTTGGGTCATGAGAATCTGGCTCATGGGCCCCCGGGTCGGTCGCCTGTCACTCCCTGGGCTACCTCTGCCAAATCATGCCCTCCCTGAGCCAACTGTCACTGGAGCGGTCACCCAGCCCAGCCGCCCTCAAGGGGATGGAATGAGGTCAGGTGGGTGGAGCTGACGGCAAGGGCAGCCCCATGCCCCTGCTAATATGACCAGAGGCCTTGGCGCCTCTTTCTGGGGCCACATGCCTGGCTCATGCTCCAAACTTTCTTTTCTTTTTTTTTAAGGTTTTATTTATTCATGATAGACAGAGAGAGAGAGAAGCGGAGACACAGGCAGAGGGAGAAGCAGGCTCTATGTGGGGAGCCCGACAAGGGAGGACTCGTTCCACTCCAGGATCAAGCCCTGGGCCAAAGGGAGGGGCTAAACGGCCGAGCCACTCCGGGATCCCTCCAAACTTTAAAACAACTAAAACCTCTAAGTCTTTTTATAACCTGTAGGTACGTAGCTTCAAATCCCAGCTCCACTGCCCCCCCCCCGGCCCCCCACCCCCCGCGACCTCTGTGACTCTTATTTGATCTTTGGGCGCCTGGCACAGGGCTGGGCACACCAGGAATAGGAGTTGCTGTTAAGTATTATTGCCTCCAGGCTCCCCCGCCCCGTTGGGACCCTCCAGTCTTCCCTGGAGCGACTGTGTCATTTAGCTCCCCCGCGGGACGCTCTGAAGCCTGAATGGCCGTGCCCGGGCGCCTCCCGCTGCTCTCCTCCTCGTGCCTTCTCCCAGCAACCAGGGCTGCGTGGACACGCGAGGACGTGGTGGAGAAGTGGGCCATTCCAGGCCAGCTCGCTCGCTCCACCATTGCCTGCTCACGTCCAGGACCCTGCGGTGAGGTCCCCGTGGTGAGGTGCTGGGGTCTCCTCTGGTAGCGGGCGCACCGGCCACCGGCACACAGGGCCTCCAGCCCTCACTGCACCTGCCAGGACGGGGGGCTCATGAGAGACCGGGGGCCGGACCCACGCAGCTCAGCTGCCCCCGAACTCCTGACCCACGGAAACCGGGTGAGACCATCAGCACCGGTTGCCGTTTTACGCTGCTGTGGTTGGGGGCCATTTGATACGCAGCAGCGGGTAACTAGTAACCACCCCCCCAAAACTCCTGGAGCCCCGGATGGTGCCTGGTGAATCAGGGGGCCCGCTTCTCACTTCTCCCGGGAGGCACACGCTGTCCTTGGTCTGTAGTGGCCCCCAAGAGCCTGCTCCCGCCCCTGCTCCCCCACCCCGCACCCCTCCCCGCAACTCCAGGACACGGCCGGTGCTTCTCAGCGCCCAGGGTGAAGACATGTCTTTGGCTGGGGACGGCCCAGGGATTGTCAGGAGGCCACAGCTGTCCTGTTCCAGAGGTGGCTCAGCTTCCATCTCCCAATCCCAGCGGAGGGTCCCCCAACCCAGCAGCCTCAGGCTTGGAGCGCCCCATGCTGGGAATGACTGGGGGGCCCCGCTCCGAGCTGGGTGCTATTCACCTCCCTCAAGCTCCGGAGCAGGACAGTCACTCGCTCTAACTTCCATGGTAGGAAAGTGGTGGCCCGAGGTCACCGGGCAGGGGGTGGCCGACCCAGGGATTTGACCCCAGAATCCCCAGGCCTCCTGGTCCCTGCCCACTCCTGCCCTCTGACAGGCCCTGACAGGCCCTGTCGCACCCCCCCACCCCCCCACCCCCCGCCCAGGGCACTGGGGAGGAAGTTTGGCCTCCAGACCTGATCCACTGAGGAGTGAGGAGCCTGCGGCCCGGGGTGGCCACGCAGAGCAGACCCAGAGCAGACCTGTCCCACGGTTACTTGTTTGTGTCCCAGGCTGGTGCCCCGGATGCCCCGGATGCCAGCTCTCGCCGCGCCCCCTCTGTGCCCGCCCAGCCCGGAGCAGGGGCTCCAGAAGCGGAGGCTGAGGTTTGGACGCAGGTCTCTACGGATCTCAAAATCCTCAATGAAATGCAAGACACATCAACTATCTCAATGACAGTCAGCTGAGCTGCTGGCTCAGCTTCCACGGGCTCAGGGGGTCTCCTTGCCCCGACCCCCAAGTCCTCCTTCTCTCGCCCAGCTCCAGGTCACTGTCCTGCACCCCCTGCTCTGGCTGTCACCCAGCTGGGCTGCTCTAGCCTCAGGATGAGGCGAGAAAGAAACAGTATTTTTAGAGAGGCTTTTTTTTTTTCTTCCAGGAAAATGACTCCAAATGTGCAATTTATTCCCAGGCACGGGGGTGTGTTAGTGGGATGGCTTCTGGAACGACAGGGCCCTCCTCCCTTCCCACGCCTCCCCTCCCATGCTCTCCTCCCTCCCCTTCCTCTGCAGCCCTGCAGCTCCCCCCCCCCGGAGCAGGTGCTTGAACACCCACCCATGGGCCTACTCCCCCCACCCCGACCTGCCCCCAGGCAGCTCCTAGCCCTGTGACCTTACTTTTGGCCTGGCAGGAGCTGCCCCCCTATGGAAGGAAGGGCCTTGGTTGTGGGGTAGGTGTTACCCCACGAATGTTTGCAAATGGGGCATCTGGTCAAGGAGAAGGGAGTGGGTGAGAGAGCCCCCAGGGCGGGGAATGAAGCAGCCTGGGGTTGTGCCTCTGTGACCCACGGCCAGTCACTTCCTCTTTTTTTTTTTTTTTTTTAGAATTTAGTTCCTGCTTTTTAATTTTATTTATTTATTTATTTATTTATTTATTTATTTATTTATTTATTTATATTTTTTTAAGATTTTATTTATTTATTCATGAGATACACGCACAGAGAGAGGCAGAGACACAGGCAGAGGGAGAAGCAGGCTCCATGCAGGGAGCCCGACGTGGGACTCGATCCCGGGACTCCAAGATCACGCCCTGGGGCCAAAGGCATGGGCTAAACCACTGAGCCACCCAGGGATCCCCTAATTTTATTTATTTATTCATAGACACAGAGAGGCAGAGACACAGGCCGAGGGAGAGGGAGAAGCAGGCTCCATGCAGGGAGCCCGATGTGGGACTCGATCCCAGGTCTCCAGGATCACACCCGAGGCTGGAGGCGGCACCAAACCGCTGAACCACCAGGGGTGCCCTCACTTCCTCTTTTTGGGCCTCGGTTTCTCCCTTATAAAATGGGCAGATGAGGGGGGTGCAGTAGGGAGAGCAACACGAGGCCCCCCACCCCCTGTTCTTTCTAGGCTACAGTGAACAAGCCCCTAGAATGTTCTTGGCCTTATGCACACACACTGGGAGCTGGAGTTCAAGGCGTCAGGGGCCATCCTCCGGGGCAGGGGCTCAGCCTCTGTGTGACCTGCCTGCCATGGATCAGTGGAGATGTTGCCACCCCGCCACCCCCCTGCAGCCACCACGGTGAAGCCTTCCTGGATTCCTCCGTGACTCCCAAACCCTCAGAGTGGTGTAAACCCCTCCTCGCCCAGTGCCCTGCTCATCCATGCAAATTTACAGAGGCCAAGCTGAAAACTCGGGGGAGCTGAAGCCTCAGGGCCCCTGGCCTGCAGAGGCCCTTCCCGAAGCCTCGTTCCTAATTTTGTGTTTGTGGTCTCCTCACACTGTGCAAGCTTCAGGCCCACAGAGCTGGGACCCACCCTGTCTTTATCCCTACCCAGCGTGGGGTCCCAGAGGCCTCTTTGACCCTCAAGCAGCACCTCCTGAGCCCCGCCACCACCCCATGGCCTGGCACCCGGGCCAGACCTGGCCAGGTTTCTGCTCAGGGACTCGACCTCCACTCACTTCACCTGCAAGACCAGCCCCAGCCTTGCTCTGGGGCCCACAGGTCACTCAGCTCAAACCTCACTGCTTCCCTCTCCCCCGAGCCCTCTGGACTCCAGTTTGTGAACCCCCAGCTCACAGACTTAGAAGAGGCCTGGGTTCAAATCCTTCCCCCTTCCTGGCAGCCGTGTGCCCAGGGGGTGTCACCCACCCCTCACCTTGAAAGGACTGGCCTAGCACCTAACACATAGGACTCAGGTGAGCTCAGGGCACGGGCCTGTCCATCACACAGCCAGGTCCCCTGGATGGGCAGGGGCTCCCCCCACCCAGATGAAGACCCCTGTGGAAGGAGGCCAAGCCAGGTACCTGCTTGTTCTGGCCCCTTCCCAGGCCCCGAGGCCTCCCTCAGAAGCTGAGGCTCACCCCCGTAGGCCTCTTACTTGCTGGGGCAGCAGACTGTGAGTCTCCCCAGCTCTCTCTGTGGGCTCTTGCCAGAATCTGGCCTCAGTTCCCGAATTTTGGAGTCACTCACCTCAGGACTGCAATCACTCAGACTTCCTCAGAAGCAAGCCGGGGTTCCGGCCTCCATCCTGAGTGCAGCCAACATTGGAAGATGTGATGAGAAGGTGGGTGGGGAGGGAGCAGGAGAGGAAGGGGGGTCTGGGGGGCACAGGGACTCCTCTCCCACGGCCTGGGACTACCTGGAGCGGGGATGGCACAGTGAGGAGCCGTCAGCATGCCCGCCTCCGCCATGTGGGGCCTGTCACAAGCTTCTCAGCCCGTCTCCCCAGGTGTGAAATGGGGGCAAAGTGAACAGCCAGTGACCGCACTGTCTTCACCGGGTGCCAGGCTTTGTTGGAAGGGCTCCCAAGCGTTAGCTCATTTGGTCCTCGTGGTGACCGCCCCGGAGGCAAGTGTATTGTCCCCACATCACAGGACGTGGGGACACCTCAATGACACTGTTGCCCGCAGGCGCTCATAACAGTGCCTGGTGAACAGAAAGCCCTTAGTGGATCACGGTTCTCTCTCTCTCTTTTTTAAGATTTTATTTATTTATTCATGACAAAGAGAGAGAGAGAGAGAGAGAGAGAGAGGCAGAGACACAGGCAGAGGGAGAAGCAGCCTCCATGCAGGGAGTCCAACGTGGGACTCGATCCCGGGTCCCCAGGATCACACCCCAGGCTGAAGGTGGCACCAACCACTGGGCCATCGGGCTGCTCCATAGTTTCTTTTTATATGGTCATGTGGGGTGACAAAGAGCCAGTCTGTGTAGCCAAATGCTGGGGGCAGGTAGAGTCACACAACAATTATTGAGCACCTACTGTATGCCAGGCTCGGAGATGCAGCTGTCAATGGGGTGGCTCAGAGCTCAAGGATGTTGGCTGAGGCCTCCCACTTCCCCTTGCTGTCTTGTTAGAGCCCGGAGTCCAGGCCGAGAGCAGAGGAAGGTCTGACCGGTTGGGGTGCTGAAGCCTGGCTGTTAGGCGTGGGGGGTTATCCGGGTTCCAGGCTCACCCGAGTCTGCCCACAAGTCGGTTGTGTTCATGCGGCAGTAGGGATCCCCTCGCTGGCTCTTTCATTCACCAAATCTCCCAGCCCTACCTCTGGACTCAGCATTACCGTGTGATTGTTAAGAGCCTGGGTCGGGAGCTCAGCTCTCATTCAGCAGCTGTGTGACCTGGGGCAGGTCTCCTAGCTTCTCTGTGGGGATGACAGGGTGGCTCGGGCCGCGCCTGGCCTACAGTCAGCTCTGCTGTGGCTCTGCGATTACTATCCCCTGGGGATACTAAGGTGCTCCCACTCCTGGGGGAGACAGTAGAACAAGGTGAGGGGCGCAGACCCCGGCCCTGTCCAGCCCTGCCCAGGAAGGTCAGCGAGGCTCCCCAGAGGGGCGGGGTGGGCCAGAAGCCTGTGTGCATCCTGATGGGGGGGGTGACCCCCAGGTGCTGGGACGGAGCTCGAATGCACAGGCAGGCACGGGGCAGGTAATTGTGCACGGTGGGCCAGCGGGCAGGTGAACGTGAACATCTGTGGACCCCGAGGAGAGCAGGAGCAGGTGGGTGAGGGGCAGGAGGAGACCCTGGGGTTCCGGACAATCCCCCCTGCCCCCGCCCTTCACTGCGAGCAGTGTCTCTGAGGAGCAGCAGGTGGCGCTCCAGGCCTGCCCAGCCCAAAGATCTCCCTCTCCCCACCTCCTGGGCTGTCCTGGAAGAGGGGCTGGGGCTCCTGGACGGCTCAGAACACGAGCCAGGCTCACTCCCCACCCTGTGCACGGAGAGTGTCCTAATGGCCTCCCTGATAGCTACTTTTCAGAGCCTTGCATGCCTCCCAAGACGGAGGATCACTACCTCTCCGAGTAGCCATGTGTGACCAGCTCCAACTGTTCACGGGTCCCTGCTTACTCGCAGCTGCCTCCGCCTACGCTCACCCTAGCCTCGCTGGCCCTAACTCTGCCCTTCGGAAGCTCCTCAGATCCAGTCCGTCCCCTGGCCTGTGGCAGCCCTTCTGGGAGGTGACTAGCCCTATAACCAGGTCCCTTACTGTGTAAGTGTCGTCCCACTCACCTTTACTGAACGCGGAGCGCGGTGGCAGGGGAGAGCTCCTGTAATCACCACCTGGCGCCTGGCCCTGTGCCTGACACACAGAGGCACTATATTTGGAAAATGAATGAATGAGTGCACGAACCCTGTGTGGTCATTATTTCCATATTCCAGCTGGGAAGCTAAGGCTCAGAAAAGTAAAGCGTTCAGTGTCACACATGTCATTAACTGGCGGGGGTGGGATCGCCCACCCCAGAGCCAGCATGCTTCACCTCCAAGCTGTGCTGGCTCAGCCGGCACCCCTCCTCCTCTCCTGGGCCCCGTAGGCCCCTGTGGACTCATCTCCCCAAGGTGCCGATGGGCCCTAATTCCGAAAGACTCCAGCAATCAGATTCCCAGAAGCTGGGAATTGAGAATTCCTAGGGATTTTTGCATCTCAGAGTTGGAAAGTCTCCCTCCCTTTCCTCTCCAGGATCTCTGCCAGAGGGCAGCTAGCCTGGTCTTACATACCCTCTAGGGACTGGGCTCTCACTCCCTCCAAAGGAACATCTAATTCAGCTCAACCTTATGCCGTGCTGACGTTTGTCCTCTGGACCTCCTCGCCAGGGCCCTGCAGGACAGGTCCCGGTCCCCCCGACACCCCAAATTATGGCTGGCATCCCAGAGTCTTTTCTTCCAGACCCAACCCTAGCCCTCTCCCTATTGGCTCCGCCTGTCCCGGTTTCAGTTCTTTTTTCCTTGGGGGAACTGTCCCAGTTTCTGCCCAATTCGGTTCCTATTTCCTGGTAGCAGGCCTGGCACAGGGTGGCTGCCGGACACAGGGGCGGACTTCCAGCTGCCACCATCAGCAAATAACCTTCCCTCTCTGGGCCTCAGTTTCCTACCCAGGTGGTGGAGATCCTGACTTCATGGCAAAGCTCTAGAGGGCCAAGCTGAATATTCATGAATATTCACCTTGCCTGCCACCCCCACCCCCATCCAGCACCCGGGGCCAGGTGAGCTCAGGTGAATCTGTGAAACCCACACATTTGTTCTGTGCTCCCACTATGTGCCAGGCCCTGTGCTAGCCCTGGGGACACAGCGGTGAACCAGAACACCCGGCCCCTGCCCTCCTGGAGCTCATGCGGTTGGGGACTTGGATAAAAAGTAAGGTGCACAGGCTGTCGGGTGGGGCACAAAGCAGTCGAGACGGGCCAGGCAGGGCTCGCCACACCGCTTCTCACACCACCCAGGCCCAGACGGCAGGTGAGGAGGGCTCCCCTTCCCAGGTGATTGCGTGTGTGTGTGGGGGGGGGGGGGCACAGGGCACCCCGCAGGCCTGCGGTCGGGCACAGGGACCGCAGTCTACAGCCTTTGCGTGGGGGGCACTGAGGCCCAGGGAGGCCCAGGCCCGGGCGGAGGCGTCCAGAACAAACCACCGCCCCGGGCCTGGGTGGCCGCGGCCGCAGCGCGGACTGGCTTGGGGGGCGGTGGCGGTGGGTCCCCGAGGGGCCGCGCGAACGGGCCGCGGGGGCGGGGGGGGCCGGAGCTCCCGCGAGTCGGCCTGGACCCTGCGGCGCGCCCGCCCCCTGCACCCCCGCGCGGGGTCCCCGCCCCGGACACGCGCTCTGCGGGCGCCGTCCCCGCGCTCGGGGGGCGGGGGCGGGGGGCGCGGCGCGGCGGCGGGGGGGGGCGCGCGGGTCCGCCCGGGTCCGCCCGCCCGCCCCGCCCCGCCCCTCCCGGCCCCTCCTCCCGCTCCGCCCGCGCTGGGGGCGGCCCGGCGGCGGCTGGCGGCGGCGGCGGCGGCGGCGGCGGCGCAGGCTTCCTGCGGGCGCGGCTGCTGTGGGCGCGGAGCCGCGAGGCGGAGCCGGGCCGCCGAGCCGGAGCCCCGAGCCGGGAGCGCGTCGGGCCAGCCTCGGGCCGCGCCGCCGCCCAGCAGCCGCCCCGCGCGCCGCGCTCGGGAACAAAGGCGCCCGCCGCCGCCGCCATGAAGCCGGGGCCGCCGCACCGCGCCGGGGCCGCCCACGGGGCAGCAGCGGGGATCGGGGCCGCGGCCGGGCACGGCGCCCGCGGGCTGCTCCTGCCGCCGCTGCTGCTGCTGCTGCTGGCCGGCCGCGCCGCGGGGGTGAGTCCTGACGCGCGCCGGCACCCCCACCCCGGGACCCCTGGGCCCCAGCCCCCCGCGCCTCGCCTCCCCCCTGGGCACCCTCCGGCCCCCGCGCCTCCCCTCCCCCTGGACACCCTCCGGCCCCCGCGCCTCCCCTCCCCCTGGACACCCCCCCAGCCCCCCGCGCCTCCCCTCCCCCCTGGGCACCCTCGGGCCCCCCGCGCCTCCCCCCTCCCCCCGGACACCCCCAGCCCCCCGCGCCTCCCCCCTCCCTCCTAGGCACCCTCGGGCCCCCCGCGCACCTCCCCTCTCCCCTAGACACCCCCAGCCGCCCGCGCCTCTCCCTTCCCCCCTGGACACCCCCAGCCCCCCGCGCCTCTCCCTTCCCCCCTGGACACCCGCAGCCCCCCGCGCACCTCCCCTCTCCCCTAGACACCCCCAGCCCCCCGCGCCTCTCCCTTCCCCCCCCCCGGACACCCCCAGCCCCCCGCGCCCCTCCCCTACCCCCTGGACACCCCCCCAGCCCCCTGCGCCTCTCCCCTCCCCCCTGGGCCCCCGCAGCCCCCCGCGCCCCTCCCCTCCCTCCACCCCCCTCGGGGCTCGCTTCCCCTTGCTCCGGGGACCCCCCTCCCCGGCGGCCCTGGGCGGAGCAGGGTTCCCTGCCCCGGGTCAGGGGCGCGGGGCGCGGGCGCGGGCCGGGCTGGGTGTGTCGCGGGTCTGGAGCGAACGTGGCCTTGGCCTCGGGGGTGTGCCCGGCCGCGGCCGCTCGCGGGGAGTTGGGTGGGCTCCCCTGGGGCTCCCCTGGGGCGGGAGCGGTTCGCTGCCTCCGAGGGTCGCTGCGGGGAGGGGAGGGCGGGGGCCGGGGAGGGGCAGGGTGGCGGTGACCGGCGTGAAGGTGACCCGAGGGGGTGAGTGAGGGTGACCCTGTGTCTAATCCCCTCCGCCCGGCGGTGGGACCTGTGGGCTGTGCAGGCGGGAGGATGAGGGATGGAACCGCGCATGGCTGGGGGCCGCATGGCTGGGGCCGCCCCTTACCTGTGTGTGGACCCTGTGGGGGTGACCTATTGTGCTTGCGGAGGGTCAGTGGCGGGGCTGGGCAGCCCTTGGCCATGGCTGTGTGCCCCCCGGGAGGGGGTGCGTGTGTGGGGGAGACACCTCCGTGGTGGGTGTGTGCTTGGGCCCATGGGAATGTGTGTGTGCATGTGTGTGCATGCATGTGCTGTGGATGCATCGGTGACCCTGTGGCTGGGGCACGTACCTGGGGCGCAGGGGGGTGCAGAATGTGTGCAGGTGAAGGTGAGTGTGTATGTATGCCGTGACCCCGTGAGCGTCTCTTTGAAGGACCACACAGCTGTGGGGTTGAGCTCAGTCCTGGCTCGGTTGGGGGGAGCAAGAGGAGGTAGAGAAAGGAAGGGCCACCTCCCCACTTGGAGGGACCCCGATCCCAAGTGAGTTCCCCCATGGACGCATGTCTGGAGCCTCGACAGCCTCCTTGGTGGGTTCTGGGAGCTGTGCCTGGCCTTCATTCCCCAGGCCGAGAAGCACCCAGGTCTCTCAGGCAGCCCCCAGGTGCCAGCCCTGTCCCCGCGTGTCTCCGTGGGCTTCGGTGGGCCAGTCTGTAAAATGGGAGGACAGGCACGGATTTAGAGGTCGCTTCTTGGACAGACAAGCTGCTCGTCAGCCTTCCCCGTCTGGGGGCTGAACGAAGGGTACAGGGAGTACTGAAGGCAAAGTCCAGTCCAGTGCCCGGCGGGCTGGCGGCCTCATCCCCAGTCCTCCCCCAGGTGGGGTGAGAAGAGGTCCCTGTGAGGACCTGGGACCCAGCCCCGCCTGGCATATGAGTCGCTTTCTCAGCCAAGCTTCTGAAAGATCGTTTATGAATCAAAAGCTGGGAAATAACACAGCCCTGGGTTCAAATCCTGCTACCCCCCTGACTCCTGCTGTAACCTTGGGCACGTTGTCTCATCTCCCCGGGCCTCTCTTTTCCCGTCTGTGAAATGAAGCCGGTAACACGGTCTTCAGAAATGAGCTGAGCTGAGCTGTGTGCTCATCCACAGAAGTAAACGTTTGATGTAGGGATGGATGAAGGGGGCGTAGGCCAGAATGCTTTAACCTGGGCGCCCGGCAGGAATCCTGAGCTGTAGGATCTGGGCAGGTCTCCTTTGCTGAACCACTGTTTCTCACTCACAGAACGAGGCTGATGTAATTCATGCCCCATGGGGTGGTGGAAGGAACTGGGCGCCTGCGAGATGGAAGACCACTAGGAGGGCCTGGGTGAGAGGCTGTCCCTGCACCTGAGGGTGAGGGAGAGTGGGTGTGGTTCAGAGCCAGAGCCCAGTAGCAGGGGCAGCAACACCGCCTCCCAGGCCAGGATGGTGGGCTTGACTGGGAGGGGCTCCAGGGGAGATGGGGAGCCCCCAGGGTTAGGCTGTCCAGGAGGAGCATCATCTCATCTGGCCCAGCAGCCATAAGGGTGAAGGGTGGTGCCAGCGGCCAGGGGTGCCACCCTACGGGAAGAGGGTAATGCCTGTGGCAGGAGGGACTGAGGTTAGGCCAGGAGAGCCCCACCCAGGATGGCTCCAGGAGTGGCCTCCATGGTGGGGTCCCCTAAGGACATCGCTCAACGGGCAGTGGCTGGCTCTGAGCAGGGGAGGGTCAAGATGACCCCTAGGGCTGCCTACCAGCTTGAGAGGGAGTTTGTGTGGGGTGGGGTGGGGTGGGGTGAGGGGGGCGCTTTCAGGGTGGCCTCTGGGGATAGCAGGTCTCATTCATGCTGCAGATGGTGAGTGAGTGAGTGTGTGTGTGTGTGTGTGTGTGTGTGTGTCTGTCTGTCTGTCTCCTGGCGTCTGCTTTGGGGAGTCCTCTCTCCTGAAAGACCAGGTGACTGGGACTCTCAGGGACATCTGGCTTCAGGGCCACCTCAGTCACCACCCAGAGAGGCTTGGAGTGTGGGGATTCTGGAACCTTTAGCTTGGAGACATGTTCATTTAGAGGCTCAGGGCCGGAAGGGGTTTTCTGTGTCATCTAGTCTCGTTTGAACATTCCCAGTGATGACATTTCACTACTTTGTGGCTGTGTGACCTTGTGAAAGTTAGTTAACCTCTCTGTGCCTTGTTTCGTGTCTGTGAAACAACAACAACGGAAGAGGTTAATGTGGGAAGTTCCCAGCGCAGCGGCTGGTGCTTAGTAAACACTCAACAAATGCTGCTTTCTTGTTGTTCTTCTGGGGCTCCGGGGCCTGGAGCGTGGTGGGGGGGAGGTAGGGGTGGGACCTTGGGGAGGAGAAATCAATCTAGGAATTTTGCTGAAGGCCCACCCCCGGGCCTGGTGGTTCCTGCCCCCTTCCACCCTCACTACTTCCCCTGCCCTAGAGCGCCCTGCTCTTCCAGGACCCGAGTTGACTGTGGATGCGGAGTTGTCAGAGCAAGATCGTCCTCACTGCAGAAATTTGAAAGTTGGGGACCCCGGGGCTGTTTGAGTCCAGGCCCTGACACAAGGACACCACAGGGGCCTGCTGTCTGTTAACCCCCAAGGTGGGAGGGGCTCCAGGCATAGACACCTGCTGTGTGACTGAGCAAGGGGTTTCTCTGCTTCAACGTCCTCGTCTGTAGAGTAGGGACTGTAACAGCGCCAACCTCACAGGGGTGTTGCCATGAGAAAATGAGCTCCGTGGGTAGAATGAGCACAGCCTGCCATGTAGTGAGCTCTCAGGAGATAGAGCCTTTCCAGGAGGGAGCCTGGAGAGGTCAGAGAGGGCTTCCTGGAGGAGGAGGTTTTGAGCTGTGCAAGCAAACTGGTCCCCACGTGGCAGGGAGCAAGCTGTAGCCCGCCCTGACCCTAGGCTTTCTTACTTGTCAACTGAGGACAAATGCTTGACTTTCAGGACTGCTGTTGGGGGTTACAGTACCCTCATGGCAGAGTTGGGATGGGGACCCGGTGCCTTCTACTCCTTGGGGAGCAACACAGTGCCTCCAGCTGCAAATTCAGTACGTTTCTTCTTCCCTCGTGTTGGGGGTTGGTTGGGGGTGAGCTCTGCTGAAGAAAGGAGCTGAGGGGCACCTGGGTGGCTCAGTGGGCTAGGCATCTGCCTTCAGCTCAGGTCGTGACCTCGGGGTCCTGGGATCGAGCCCTTCGTTGGGCTTCCCGCTCAGTGGGGGTCTCCTTCTCCCTCTGCCCCTCCCTCCCACTTGCTTGCCCTCTCTGTCTCAATTAAGTAAATTAAGTACATAAAATCGAAAAAAAGAAAGAAAGAAAAGAAAAAGAAAAAAAAAGCAGTTTGGTCTTTTGAAAACAGGTGGCTCCTCCCCACTCCTGGACTGGGACATGGGGTCCCTGGGGGCCCCAGGGCAGTGCTGGGGTACGGCAGTTCTGGGCCTAGGCTCTGGAAAATGCTGGGGCACCGGTGGGGTGGGTGGGGGAGGTGGAGACAGAGCTCCCCTCAGAAGCCGGGCCTTGCCGCAGGCGTCCCTCCAAATCCTCCCGTTGGAGCTGTGGCCCCCCTGCCCCCAGGCCCGGGCTGCTTCTTGGGGAGAGGGGTGGGTCCTTCTAGAAGAGGCTGCAGGAGGATTGCTGAGGCTGGAGCCGACGGAAGCAGCTGGCACAGGAAGGGTAAAGCCTCCGTCTGTCTCTGCCCCCCCACCCCCGGCTGTGGGCATGATCTGGGGAGGCCTTAATGACCCAAGCAGCAAACTAATGCTCCCCGAAAGCCCCGCCCACTAAGCGCTTGCTGTGTATTGGCTCATTTAATCCTCAGGGTAATCTTTGCGGGTGGGAACACCCAGAACCTCGGCTCAGAGAGATTAAATGACTTGCCCACGGTCACACAGCTGCAAAGTAGCAGAGCTGGATGGAGCCAGGGCCTGCCAGGCTGGGACAGCTGGGCTGCCTCTCGATTTCACCCCTTCTTGCTCTGTGACCTTGGGCGACTTGCTTCTCACTGGGGGCTCCTTCCCTCACAAGGCCTTGTCCTGTGGGAAATGGGCTGCTCTGAGGGTCACAGGTTTGGGGGGAGGGAGAGC